TCAAAGGGCAATAAAACAATAAAATTTAAACATAACAAATGTATACTATTACGAGTTTAAAGCTAACTAGGATAAACAAATCTAGTTTCATGTTACAATTTGAAGTCATTCTAGAAAAAAAATAAGGGTAATTTAGATTATTTTGATTTTTTTCTTTTAGTGGTTATGAAGTCGGTAAACTTGACCAACCTTGTATAGTTAGGGTATAGAAAATAACATAAAAATTAAGCTTTACAGAAAATAAAAACGTTTGAAATGTATTTAAGAGGTTTTAGAGATTATGCAAATAAAATTTGAGATTTTTGAGATGAAGAAAACTATTTTTAATTTTAACATGAAAATCACTTTGCACTCAGATTAGTAAAAAAAAGGCTATATATTCACAGACAAAACTTTTTTTAGTTTATTAAAAATACTTCACTAAAAATCTGATTCTTTGTATTTAAATGACTTGTAATGTTTACTGAAATTCTGCAAAATTTTGTGTAGATACACACTATATTAGAAGTAAGTAGTACCAAAACTATAACAACTTTAAACGAGTAAAACGTGGTCACATTCTCAGTCAATTCGACTAAGCCCGTGGAGATAGAGTTAAGGAGAAATTCTGAATATGTGAAGTTACTGAATAAATTAAACTACAGTAATTCTAAGTTCTGCATTTACAGGTTTATAGATACAAGATATATATTTGCTCAGAATTGACCTAAATTTTGAATTGTATGTATTTTATCTTACTTAAGACTGAATAATAGTGTTCAGAATATTTACAAACTTTATTACCATGGTAATAGTGAGATTTAATGGTACTGACAGGAAATTTACTATCAAGGTAATGGTGATTTTAGAGTATTCAAATAAACAGTGAACCAGCTATCTAAGCTTCACTACACATGAATCAACTGACCCTCTCTACACATGAACAAGCTGACCTGACATTCTCTACATATAAGCCAAATGACCTTCTTTACACATGAACCAGCTATCTTAACTTTTTTACACATGAACCAGCTGACCTGATCTTCTCTACTCATGAACCAGCTGACCTGATCTTCTCTACTTATGAACCAGCTGACTCTCACTAAACATGAAACAGCTATATGACCCTCTCTACACATGAACCAGCTATCTGACCTTCTTTACACATAAACCAGCTATCTGACCTTCTTTACACATAAACCAGCTACCTGATCTTCTCAACACATTAACCAGCTGACCTGATCTTCTCTACTTATGAACCAGCTACCTGATCTTCTCAACACATTAACCAGCTGACCTGATCTTCTCTACACATGAACCAGCTGATCTGATCCTCTCTACACATGAACCAGCGGACTTTCATTAAACATGGACCAGCTATCTGATCTTCTCTACACATTAATCTACCTGACTTTCATTAAACATGGACCAGCTATCTGATCTTCTCTACACATTAATCTACCCAACTTTCATTAAACATGGACCAGCTATCTGATCTTCTCTACACATTAATCTACCCAAGTTTCATTAAACATGGACCAGCTATCTGATCTTCTCTACACACGAATCTACCCAACTTTCATTAAA